GCGTCTGGAGCTGCAAAAGCTGAGAAGACATGGATGAGGTTTTATGCGATGCTTCTTCCACTACATTTCTTAGTTTGTGACAGAAACACATCTTTCTGACAGAGCTGCCACACTGTGTGCAGGAGAACAAATAACATCATTTTGAATTAGGCTGCCTACAATAATACATTTTGAAATTCTGTTGAAAAATGACTAGTACTTTACATTTTTTACTCAGCGCTGACCATTTTCAGCTGGGATATTGTTCATGCCTCCTTCGCACTCATGTTGTATAACTGTACAGGAGGAGTGAATGACTGACTGCATACAGTAGCAGACTGTCAGCATTTGATTGGTTCTGTATTGATCCAGACATGCTTTCCATCACATCAACTCATCCACAATAAACCATTTACACAGTTTCCCTGTGCAATGGACCATATAACCAGGCCTCAGGCCATCTTTGTTCACCCACTCCGAGTGTTTGTGCGCGTTTGTGGTCGGGAGTGTGTCTAAGCGTGCTCGTTTTCTTAATGAAATGGTATCTCTGTGGACAATAATCCCAGTAACAGGATTGGGCAAGAACACACATGTCAATAAAGCCAAATGGGATTGTGTGCTTTTATCCATCCCCACACCAGCCCATCTTTCTCCTCCTATGTGCCTCTCCCTGTCTCTTCTCCAGCAGCACAGCAGGAAATGTCTGGCAGGAATACTCAATTGATTTTATCTGGTTCCTTAATAGTGATCTAAAACATGGCCTCTAAAGGAAATCTGTGAATCATCAGAGAGGTTAACTTTGAATATGCGAGCCTCACACCAATTGGCATGAGATGTAATAATCTGTCTGCACACAGAGGAGAAACTTACACAGTGTTTCCAGTCAAGCTAGAGCTGACCTCCTCCTGTGTAGCTCCTAATCATCCAAGAGGACTCTATTACAACGGCCTGGCAGCTCATCTAAGCCCACAGAGAAGAAAGGAGGGGGGGCTGGTGGGAAGATTGGGACCTCTGGTTCTTTTTCTTTCCACATGAATGAGCAGCACTCACACATACACACAATGTGACTGTAGATGTGCGGCACAGCCTCTGCATCTGTGCGCTACACCAGACAGGAGATAGAGCATCTGACCTTATGTCTGTCTGCAGGAGAGAAACTGATACCAAAGTAACCGCAGCTGCCGCGCTTCCCTTACGTTTGCCATACAGTATGGTAATGTCCGTGTCTGACTCGCAGGAGCCGTCTCAGGAGTTAACCTCTGAGGTGCAGGGCTGAGCTCCTGATCACAGCGGGAAAGGCTCAGCAGAGGAGGCACTGGTGGTCCCACGTCTCCTGCACGGGCTGCTGTTTCTCGGAGGCAACCCTGTCTGCTGCTGCCTGGTCAAAAGTTCAGCCTGTGCATACGTGAAAAGGTGGCTGGGTGCCCGAGGCAGGATCCTGGGTAAAATAATCACGCTTAAACACCAGGAAGCATGGGACAAGGCACGAGGGCTGAAGAAACCAGCCCCTTGAGGAAGTGAGGTGTCTGATTGGAATAGCAGAGTTTCTTAGGCCAAAGCGCCTCCCCTTTCTATATCCCTAACAGAATACGATGGAGCCACTGCCCACACTAATCCCTATTCAGCTCAGTACTGTCTTTGCGTGTAGTTAAGATATAGATTTGATGAGTATAGGCTGAGCCCAGCTGCTCAGAGCCTGAGGGTACACCGATCTAGAGGGAGCAATCAGTCAGTCAACAAAATGTCACAGGGTCAGCAAACCAGCATGACAACATGGTGACAACTCCACAAAGGTTACAGCCAAACTAATAACTGCAACTGGCCTGGAAATTCATTATGCGCTTTTTAAATTTGAGTCGGGATATTTGGTTCAAAGAGCAAAACTCCCGATGTGAGATCAATTTAATCAACTGGGATCTGTGGCAATCAACTTTTGAGTGTTAACAGCTTCAATTAAATCATAAAACATAAAAAGAACAGCAGCCTTTCACCCCATTTTCTTAGGCGTCTTTCTCACACACGCACCACTGATTTCCAGATCACTCAGTGCTGATAATCACACCAAAGGACACAGGGAAAACTCCCACTCTAAACACTCTGAATATTAAAAAAAATGGAGTTAGAGGCCCGGTTGCACAGTTCCCTGATAAGCAGATCAAGGCACAGGGAGGGGAACATGATGTTAGTGAAAGATAGTTTGGATGATTAAAATGTCATGGCTCTTTATAGATGTCTTTCTCAACTCAGCAAAAAGCTATCAGCTCTGTACATCAATAGGAAAGTGGGCTGTGCTCTCGTCTAATAGAGAAGTTTCTTTCTCTTCAGACAAATCCACAACATTTAGAATTAAGGAGATCATTTCCACTTCTACAACTATAACAAAAATGTAAATTATATATCATACCAACAAGGTAAATCTGAAGATAAGAAGCACATAACTGATCAATTAATAGAATCCAAAACAAAATCAAAGAAGGAGAAAAGTACTCAATGACAAGTTCTGGAGCAAATTACCGGACATGACATTTTAATGCCTTTTGCAGCAACCATACAATTACAGATTTAAAACCACTTCATGTGTTTCAGTTGTCTCCATATTGGGAAATCATGTGTGTGTATGTTTCTCCATGTGTGTGCTCTGTGCAAAGAAACCGTATATATCACTCCACCTGTGCTCCTATAAATCAAACCTGTGTTTTAAATGAGAGGCTGGTTATTTGCGCTAGAAAGCACATGGGGGCTTTGTGATTGTTTTTTGGAGTCGACATTCTGCTTATGTTTGCATCCCAGAACAATCTCCATGGATCCCGCAAGCGTACACAAGCAATTAAAGCGATACCATCTTCATATCCCTGCAACCAATAACTGAAATAATATCACTGTTTTATTAAGCCCTTAATGTGGGGGGTAAAAGGAGTGAGGGGAGGGATTTTAAAGAGGATACACTTTCCGGGCCCTTATCAACCCCAGATTTAAATAAGAGCAAATGTTCAGCTTAAGGATGTGTCTGTGTATCTGTGTGCACACGGCTGCGTGTCTGTGTGGCCTTTATCAGACAGGAATTTTAGCCAATCGCTGTGTCAGCACACTAGACTTTAATTACCAACTCTACCTTTGTCTTTTAATTTTTACTAACATCTAACACTAAATTTAATTAATGACGTGAAAAAAAAAACATTGCCCCACTCTGGAAAACCCTCTCTTAATTGCACAGATATGTGCACCTCCAAAAGTGTATCACACAAATTCCATCCATCCTTTTTCTATTCTGAGATTTTTCACACCACAGACCTGACACTGAGGGTAAAACGGGAAAAAAAGCCAACACAAATGTTAAACCAAAGAAGAAAGGGTAAAATAAAGGACAGTTTACAACTGAATTTGTCAAACTGAGGAAACTATCAGTTTGGCATTTTGTGCTGAGGAGCAATTCCTCTCGTCTCTCATCCGATGTCAAAAGGCGGAGAGACAAATGACAGCCCGAGGCCTTGCATCTGTCAAACATGATGGATCAGAACAACGCTTCACTAAAACTCCACTACGCTGCCTTTCAACACATTTTCACTCCAATGCAAATACTAGACTGATAGCGTATGATGACCAGCTAATGGAAAGATCTAAAAGTCAAAGTAAAGCATATATTCGGAGACCGTAGAGCCTAAAGAACACGGAGAGAAAAGTTTGAAAGCGCACAGGACACAATGCAGACTAAGACAAATCTTCCATTTTGATCTTATCAATCATATCTGCAGGCTGAATATGTTAAGATCCCACAACTTACGTCAGTTCTTTTACACGTGTATCCCACACATGAGCAGAAAACAAGCAGTGTTATTTTTATTGCACACAAACATGCTGATGCATCAGCGCCTGAACCACTTGCAGTGACTGCATCCTTTACCCTCAGCATCCTTGTGAGGGTAAAGAGGTTGTCCATCATGCTCCCTCTAATGATCTGATATATATAATGTATTTAGATTTTCTTGGGGCTGCTGCGCAGTGTGCCATGCATTCGCACTTAGAAAATTGGTCTTATTCAATAAATGTTGGATCAAAATAAATCCCTTCTGTGATATAGCTCTACTCAGAGATGATTCGGGGAGGTCTATGTTTGCAGTAACCCCACTGATCCATCATCGGGATTAGAAAAAACTGCATGGAAGATTACAGATTTCCTTCACATCACGCGGGCCTACAGTCGTATGAGAAACTGTTTTCTGCTCTCAACTGACAACCTCTAATGTGTATGGGCAACACATGGCAGTGAAAGTCAGATCCACGTGCTGTAGTTTCATTTTAAAAAGAATTTAAAAATAACATTTTTCTGCTCTAACCTTAAGAAGACAATTACTTTTTCGGAAAAAAAATCTATATTTTGCAACTTTCCAATTAAATATCATATTAATTATCATATTTACTTCTCAAATAAAAATGGGAAACTCATAAAATGATGAAACAATTATAAGGTTCTTCTACAATAGTCATGCTATCTTATTTTCTTAAAAACAGCTTCAGACATAATAAGTACTTACTAGTTCTACATGTTCTGACAGGTCTTTGCTGAGTAAGAGTCTAAGACCCTTATAAAATAATATGGAACACAGTATCTGGTACACATTTCTCCAAGTTGGCGAAGAGAAGAGAAAGTATTTAAGTACCAAAGTGTAAATGACTTGTGCGGCGCATTTACTGCAACCTGATAGTTGTGGTATGTTAGATGTGGAATATCACTGGAGAGGACATGAGAACTGTCTCACCGAGTCATATAAACAGTGACCAGGGAGAGGAAAAAAAAAAAGCACTGAATATCTATATCTATGAAAGCCAGACTCTATCCTTAGTCCACTGCACAGCGACCCCTTTCCATCCTTTTCCTGTCCGCTTCCCTTGAGAAAAGCCAAAACAAATACAGACTCAGTAAGATCTGCATCAGGGTAAAGAACCAAGATACGGCCTGCAACCTTCTGTCAGACGGTTCCACAATGTAGGCAGATGCAAAGTGACTGGACTTTTTTTTTTTTTCAAGCTCTTTTCTTCCTTACCATAGACTTGGTGAATGGTCTGGCGAGCGTGAAGAGTAAGGTCATCAGCCACCAGCTCCTGTGAATGGAGGTGTACATCATGTTCCCAGGATGCACTGCGTTGGAGGTCACACCGTACGGGGAAAGACGACGATGGAGCTCGCTGCTGAAGAGGATGTTGCAGAGCTTGGCCCGGTTGTAAGCCAGCATGGACCAGTAGTCTTTCTTTTGTGGGGACACCAGGTCCAAGTCGACCTTGCCACAGGAGTCTAACAGGTCCGTGAACCTAAAAGATGGTTCACAACAAGAGTGTGAGTGAGTCGGAGTCGGCCCCACGAGGAGGTCTTTCTCCTGACAGATGTGTGCTACTGACTGAATACAAATCAAAGACGTGGCATGATGTTCTTTAATTGCCTGCGACAGAGCTGTTAAACTCCAGATGTTTGACAAGGCCTCTTAAACATTACACTACTCGCTGTGGTTTTATGCTGCCACACAATAACACCACAATACATGAAGGAGGAAACTACACTCAGTATTGTGTGTGTCTGTGTGTGTGGTAGAGAGAGGGGGGGGATGGGCTCCAAACCAGTGGAACACATTCTACATATTAATCCAGTCATTAGAAAACAACCAATCAAAATGTCACCTGGTTTCCTTGTGGTGATTTTACAAGCTTGCTGCCTCTTGTTTACTGTCGCCTTCCGCAACATCCTTGCTTGGCTAAATTACAACATCTGCAGGCTTTTCATTTCATTTGCTGCAACTTCATAACTACTTTAGCAAGTAGAGGTTGATAAATCAATACTCTGAAGACCAAACGTGCATTTTTTTCACTAATTTGTTCACACAACATAGTAAAGCGTGTCTATTTCATATTGAATGGCACTCGTGATAGCTTTCTAGATTATCTCAACACACCAACAGAAACTAAATGAAGAGATTGTAGCAAAAACACATCCTGTTACCTCAGACTAAAATGCCAGTGTTGCAGCTTAAATCTATCAGAGGCAATTTTATGACGGATACTATCTCTCCTTGTTTGCCCAGATCTGATGCGGTACAAGGTAAAGAAAGGCAGTACTGGGTCAATCCACACTAAGCCCCTATGGTGGACCTGATAAAGTGTCCAGCCATTACTCGCATGTCCATCTTTCCTGTTTGTGTCCCTTACAGGTCAATGCTTTACTAGCAGACAAGGAGCTCAGGGAATACTATATGCTGGCAGTTCAGGGGTCAGACACTACATGAGAGAGGAGGCTAAGTGAATAAATGGGAAATCAGCAGAAACTGTAAATAACACAAACAAAAAAGGAAGTCACTTCAATCAATTCAATATAGTTTGGGAATGAGGTGGACAGAATGGAAGATGTGATACAAGATATTGTCTAAATTTGCTCCATTTTCCCCTCCCTCTGGTCTGTGTCAGTGTGTAACTGACTCTCTCTGGTCTTGCTTTAGCTGTCTTTTAAGGGATTAAAGCCGCGGCTGATTGTAGAGGAGAGGAGGAAAGGTGAGGAAATGTGTTAGGGAGGGACAAAAGGAGAGAAGGGAGCTGCAGAGAAAAGACTGCAGAGAGCTCTCCCCCGTAGCTACGGGCACAGTGTTTTCCAGACACGAAGTTTTGCACAACCAAAACTTGTCGTGGGAAAGTGTTGAAACTAATTATGTCAATACTTCCTTTCATGATCCAAATTATTTCAGCATGATTTTCTTTCAAGCTCTTATTTTTCCTTAGCATATAACAACAGCACGACCCCAAGTGATTCTGAGTGTCAAGATACTGCCTCTGTCCTGTCACGCACTGCTCTCTGTACAACGTAACTAATATAAGCACCCCGTGTAATGCGGTCATGGTTTGATCTGCTAGAATAACTCTGTGTATGTTCCCCCTTGTCTCTGGTAACTCTGCAGAGCTCCAATCAATCACTGCTTGGCCGTCCAACTGACTGAAACCAGGATCAATGCTGCACACAGACATGGACTGATTCTGAAACACATGGCTCAGGGCTTGGGCTCCCGGATCCCTTAAAGGCATCACGCTCGACTACAACATACATTTGGTGTGAAAAACCCATGTCTGTGGAGTGGAGTTGCCAAACAAAAAGACAGACATGAAAAACTATAGATGAAGGGAAAAAGGGTCGAAAGGGGCTGAGTCAGGGGGTCAGACGGAAGGGAGCAGATACTTGATCAAAGTAAATTTTAGCTGATAAGTCCATCCATCATGCTGATGATACGTTTGATACATAGTGACAGCAAGTGGAAGGAAATGAGTTTCAGTGAGTGAGGCTGTCATGTTTGACAATACACTGTAAGTCTTATCTGTCAATTTGTCCTGAAGCCTGTGTAGCGGCTGGAACAGCAGGAGTGGAGTCAAAGGGCTGGACAATGCATGGGGTAGTTTCAGGAGGCTCCTGCTTATATTCTATCAGTGTGACTTTAACATGTTGTCGAAGTGCTGTTTTACACTGTTTTTATTCAGCATGAGATATTCAATTCTGAATAAAAACTAATCTTAACAGATCATGTGATGCTAAATTAAACTAATTGATTTTGCTATTTATTTTCCCTTTAATGCCAGAGGAATTTTGAATTGGACAAAAAAAACAGTTGTATATCTTATTTTATTTCAGCCCTTCATTAAAATGTCATAAATAAACAACAACTTTCTTTGTATCAGTATCAGTAAGGATGAATTGGTACTTATTTCTATCTACACTAACCAATATTGAACCTTCTCTGAAGTAAAATATATTTCTATGACTTTGTTGTTGACACAACAGAGACAGACTTTCATAAAACTAAGTGCCTTCCTGAGTGCATCTGCCTTACCTGTGGGATTCTGAGGATACAACCACAACCCGGGCAGGAGCTGAACGACGCAGGACATCCTGGAGGCACTGCACAAGGAGGAAGTGACCCAGATGGCAGATCTGAAAGGTGGACTCTAGGCCATCTTCCGTTAGGTTCCAGGGCTGAGTGCACACTGCTGCATTACACACCAGGACGTGTAGGGGCCTATAGGAGGAGGAAAATAATACAGGTTTGATTGATTAAAACAGGCACAACACTGAAAATAAAGGGAATTTTCATACCATATTAGACAGAAAAAAAACATCGATGAGATATATGGAAAGGTGAAAACAGAGAAAAAGAGGAAGCAGGGTCTTATTACCGCTCTATAGAGACAGAGCATCAGTAATGCTGATATGATACAGTGCCTTCGAATGCGGCTCCCCGCGGCTGCACGAGAGCTGTAGATGCTGAATACATCTGGCTGAAATCCAAGAGCAACAACACACTGGAAAGCAATCTGAAAACACTTCAACACATGCAGGTCCTGGAAGTAAGTAAGTGTTGAAGCAGGTACTGTGTAACTCCTGCATGTAACCAAAGCCGCCGACACATTCCCAAGGTAAGGCTGAGCAGGAGCAGGGAGGGTTGGGATTTTTTTTTTTTAAAGGAAGTGGTTTCAATGGTGAAAAAAAAAAAGAATGAGCTGGTTTATATTGTAGCCGTCCCAGCTGCTCACGTGGCTCAGAGAAGAGATGGCTTTTGGTCGGGGCAGCGAGAGATCCATGTCGGTGACAGCAACGCTCCATCGAGCTAAAAACCACAGTAACACAGCCGAACAATCCAAACACACCCCACCAATTTTTAATTTCTTCCATTAGAATTAATTATGAGGCCGAAGGCAATTTGTGTACCCTGTGTTTAAGACTGCCTACTGGATTAATTAAAAACTGGATGCTGGAAAATTAATGTGTGAATTGTTATGCCTTTCTATAATGAGCCATCCCATGCTATTACACTGTAGTGTACTGTACGATCACCTTCAGGCCTCTGAACACGCAAGGTTCATTAAAGAGCACAAACCTAGGCACGAGTCAACTTAAAGGACGCCGACCTCAGCAGATTGCCTCCACACCGGCAGTGGGATATTAAAATATTTAGCCAAAATATAAGAAAATGAGGAAATCTAGCTTAATGGGTTAGAAGAAAACCTCATGTAAATAGAGAATTCATGTAACCTGATACAGGGCGGAAAAGTAAAAGTTGCAGTGATTTAAAGTTTTACTCCAAAGTACTTCTCTGTTTATAAGAAAGTAAATCACATTGGTTGTTTTTGGCACAGATATCCACTATCTAATAGAGTGCGAACCACAGTATCATTGTGCAACACAGGGAAAAACTCTTGGCCCAGTCCCAGTTGTGCTCGCTAGGGGCCTCACAATAACACCACAGGCCTGAACTTGTGACCTCACTTTTTAACCTTTCACTAAAGCTGTTATTCTAAACTAATCCTTATGCTAGTAATGCCTCTTAGGAATCAAAAGCCGTGACCTTTTTCTGTGAAGGCAGCGGTGCAAAAAACGTGTGTCACTCAAAGCGTATCACAAATTTATGATCAAAAACTCGCATACCCAACTTTTCTCTGCCGAGCAGAGATTTTCTTTCCCCCATGCCGCTCAGATGGACCTCTAGCGAGTCTGCTTGTAATGTAAAAGGCCTGTTAATTCAACTGCCCACCAGTTAGTCCCTCTCTCATAAGCGCAGGTCTAATGAATGTCTTTAATAGGCCTATTGCCGCGCACCACAGTCCCTCTCTCCACATTAAGACCTCACAACACTGTGAGCACTGTGCAATCTCAGCGCTGGTCAAACGAGGGTGTTAACTACCAAACAGGGAGACATCAGTTTATATATTTACTTTAAATAACCCCCATGGGTATGACCCTTGACCTCTATGGTAATGTGGGCCAGCAGGAAGAGATTGCCTGTGTGAGCTGGGCTCAGACTAGTGGTCATTAACACAGCACTTTATTGGAAACAGGAAAACTGGCAGCACACGTGCAGCACAGATGTGTGAACACAGCTTACTCTGACCCACATCGAAACCCAGACGCCACAGCTGCCTTTGAAATCTGAAAATATTCATGTGAAAGTAACCAAACTGCAACACATCAACAACTTGTGACGTGGCTCGTTTGTTTGTTTTTTATTTTTCATATCAACTATGACAAAAATAACAAGCTTGAAATCATAGCGGAAATCAAGTGCAGGCTGACAGGTGGAGAAAAAACAGTGAGTCATTATTGTGGAAAATTCATTTGAAAGTCTATTAAGATTGTCTGTCAGCAATGTTCTCCATCAATTAGATCTCAATGAAATCGTGCTGCATTCAACAATATCAATATCCAGGTAATTTCATTTCAAAGTACAGACAATTAAGGTAGAAATGGGGTCAATGGAACACAAACCAGCGTGAAAGTTACTGACTGAAGCACTTAAAAGCAAGGGAGTGAGAAACGAGAGAATGAAAAGAAAAGACTCTGATTACATTTCACCTGTCAATGACACGCTGCAGGAGCATTTTCGTGCAGGCGTGTTGCAGGGTGTGTTTACATACCTGTTTGCGCGTGCGTTTGTGTGTCTGGAAATCTGCGCAAAGCGCGGTCTGAGTGCATCTGTGCATGTATGGGCATGCATGTGTGTGTTGTGTTTGCGGCTCCTGCGTGTGTTATGCCCGAAGACATACGTGCAGTAATAGAGTGGTGGTAGACTCAGACAGCTGCCCAGTGCCATTCACAGCTCAGAGCTCCCAGCCTCCACTCTCCTCTGTTCGCCTTCTGATGAGAATTAATGTACTCTGACGTCCCCTGGGAGTCCCCCACACCCCCCAACAGCATGGCTAATGAAGAAATACAACCTTGCCAAAATACTGAGGCAGAGAGAGAGAGCCACGCAGATGGAGACTGAGAGACAACATGAGAGAAAGACAGAAAAACTGCAGCTGATAAACTATTTCTAAAAGGGGAAATGCAAAACAAACTGTAAATTATAGGAAAAGGAGAGTTAAAGGCGGCGGATCTACTTCTGAGTAGAAAATAGAAGGGAACTACGGGACGAAAAGAAAGGGAAGCCACGTGAGGTTTGGCTGTGACCCAAGACACGCGTCCTGGATGGCCATACCCTGCCCCAGGGCTGCTGGGGGCTATGACTGCCCTGCCTCTCCCCAAGGGGCTCCCTTGACACCAACACTCTCCCCACGAACACACACTCCGCTGCCTGGAGACCTGCAGGTGGATGAGCGGCGTGGACGACAGTTTTCATGACCCCAAAATAGCATCCAAACGACCGACCACCGGAAACAAGAGGCACGCCATAAAAGCTGACCACCAGAAAATAAGTGACAGAAAGTGTGTTCCAATGTCAAGCAAATTGGCACAAATGCACACACTCACTCCAGGGGCTTTGTCCATATGCAGTCCGTCAGTAACATTTAAGATGTCCTTTAAGTATGGCATAATAACGATGGCGTATACAGTGAAGGGCCCCAAACAAGAAATACTGTTTACATACCCACTATTTTACACTTACCTGTTATTTTTATCCTGGAAATAATTGTCTTAAGGTCAAATTTAATTTAAAAAAAATTTTCAATTGATGAATATCACCCAACTTAACAGACGTATGTAAATGTGAGCTTGTCCAATCTTTATGCGTGCTTTTTCAAACTTCGATGGGGAAATCATTCAATTGTGGTTTATACTCACAGTTTTTTGGCCTTGAAGGAATCTGCAAACTCCCTGACGCTGCGCAGAGATGCCAGGTTGCACATCATGGCCTCCACCCTTGCTTTGTGCTGTTGAGGCAAAAAACAAACAAGAGTTACTCAATAGGGGGCTAAATAAATTTCATCAAATGGCATTTTTCCATCACAATTCATCCAACAACAAACGGCGAGTTCGGTGGTGACAAGAGTTTCATGCTGTGCAACAACAGTGGTAGTGTGAACAGTAAAAATAACTTAAAAAACGATCAACACCGTTAGTTGTTTTTTTCTTACTTAGTCACTTTCAGACTTGTAAAAACAGAACAGGCAAGAGGTTTCGTTGTAATCCTTTTTAATGAGTGTTTGATGGCCCTTTAAAACCACCGCACTTTGGCGTTCTGTGACTCAATATTTCGAATGGCCAACGGTGCTGCTGCAGGATCTGCACTCAGCTTGGTTAACTATGACAAATCGGCCATTAGAAATGATCCATCCACACAGGTGGCAATGGTAAAATAGAGCAAAAGCTAATTTTGTTGATTGTCTGAACTCCCTAAAAGCACTTAAATCAAGACCTCGGGAGGACGGCTCCGTCTTGTAACTGTTTGTCAAACTGAGTGTACACGTAAACTTGTATTTTTACATAAAGGTATCTCCTTGTACGTAGCTATGTAATTTGCAAAAACTAGTTTCAAAGCAGTTAAGAGAGTTTTATAAAAATGAAACACAAATCTTATTAATTTATTAGGTCCTCTGAATAGACTCAAATGTTGAGAGTTTTCAGATTTTATGAATTTTTTTATATTGATACACACTTGAAAGCTTTAGGAAGGGGAAATTTGTAACTTTTTTTTTCATTTATTCCCCCAAAAAAGAAACCCCTTTCATCAGACCACCTGTCTGAACGCTTAACATCTCACATCATGACAGTCCCGGAGATGCCACCGAATTTTTTTCATGCCCTAAAGATGAAGCTAAAGATACCAAAAACCTTCTGCTTCAGAAAGTCTACTCTTATCTGAAAAAAGAGGCAGCTCTTTGAGGATCCTGTTTTTCCTCTGCTGATTTTAACATGTTTCAAACTACTGTACTTTAGGAGATGTTCCAGATAATCCAAGTGGATGCCTCCACAGTCAATAAAGTTACAGCCTATCTGTCTGCCGTTGGTTCAACTAAAGGATTTCTCGGATTGTACTAGTCAGGTTAAAACGTATATTTGAAATTACAGTTTTCAGTTTTTTGTTTTAGAAAACTTCCCAACTTTTTTAGGAATTTGGGGTTTGTCATTGTATGTGATAAAAAATATATTAACAATATCCTAGTAAAAGCTTATAAACATATTTAAACGTATTTACTTTACTATGTCTTCTAACTCGAAAGAACAGTGAAGTGAAATGAACAGCGAGTGCAGCACTTGAATGGGTCACAAAGACTTTTCAGGAACTCCGTAGGCCTTCTGGACACGCATTAATGCGTGTATGTGTGGCTCATCTTACACCATATGTTGGGAGACAGGATGAGAATAGCAGAGGAGCACCGATTGATAAATGACTTAAGAAGTTAATGCATAGCTGCATTTACACACTGCAGAAGACAAGCTAAATATTCATATCCGTCCTCACGGTCCCAGTGTAGCATTCATGCTGCTGGCAAAAGGCCTCAAACGCATGTCGGCTAAAAGGGCCACATAACCATGTTCGTCAAGTGTGTAATATCAGAGTCTTTTCTCTCCTCCGTCTCACCTTTTTCTTCATCTTTATCAGCACAAGCCCTCAATAAACAAGCTACATTCAATCCATCTACTGCTCAGGGGCTCACATGGGACCATGGCATATGTTAGCACAAGAGCGTGCAGCATGAAGTGAGACGGACCATGCTGAACCCAGGGAGCAGAGCATCCCTCATGTTCTGGTCTCTTGGTTCTGTTCTCTCCCTCGAACAGCCCACCATCCCCGAGGAATGCTGTCAGTTTCCATTCCACCCGGAAGAGCGTTCAGCTCTCCATCCACACTGATGCTGCTGCCTTTACTGCTCCACAGTCAGCTGTTCACGCCGAGGATATGATTTCCTGTTTGTGGGTGTCGTATGGGAATGCCTTTCCTCTCCGTGTCTGTCACGCCACTCCCGGCAAAGAAACTGAACTGAGCAATGGGCCCGGCGAAAACAACAAGGGGTTAAGACCACCTTCTGATGGAAATGGGACTCTTCAGGCATTTTACAGACGTTTTAACTGCTGCAGGGTGTATTTATACATGCATATACGGGCACACGCACGCCCATACATGCACACAACAAATCCAGTGTTGTGACTCAAGGGTAAAATCATGCTATCACACCATTATTTATGCTTGAATTATTTTCTTGATGCCACTCTATACCATTATATGGATGCTATTACAGAGAATTAAAGGGCTGATTATGACTATTATAGATATGATTATAGAGTACCTCCTGCTTATATGATCTGCACACAGTCGTAATTACAGGTGAGAGGAGGCAACTCTCTAACTTGATGACTTGTACTGTGCATTTGTGCTGCTTGCCACTGCCACAACTAGTACACAAGTACACATAAAGACAGAAGATATATAATGATGGTCAGAAACATTCAGAGCAAAATTTTGTCATCAGAGACATATATAGGTCTAAGAGGGCGTCATGCAGTTTGATGAGAAAACGTCATGGTATAGTATACACTACAGTTATATTTATATATATATATATATATGCATCTATTGTAAATATATATAAATGAGCAGAAAAGTTGCTCAATTTGTCTGATCATTTTTTTACTGACAAAAAACTAAAATAGCTATCACTCCCAAACAAGGTCAGGAAAGGCTGCAGAATGATCATTTACAGGTCACTGTGAGGCCTCCCCAACAGGAAAGCTCTCCATGTGCGGATGACCAACAGAGAAGATGAGGGCAGGTGTCAGCTTGACGAACACATATCCACTTCTCTAGAGACATGGGGGGGAAAGGGAAAGGAGAGATGGAGTAATAGGAGAAAAGAGGGAGGATAGAGGGGGAAGGTTAAGGGTGGGGGATGAGGGGGGGCACTGGAGCAAATCCAGTAGGGAGAAGGTGAGCAGCCTGCTTGCCCGCCTGCCTACCCTCCCCCTGCAGATTGAAGTCTTGTGAAGAAAATAAAGTTTATTGCCTGGAAAGAGGGGGGGGGGCATGTAAAAAGCATTAAAGCGATGGAGGTGAACAATTAGACAGATGGCCAGGTTTTGGAAGGAGAAGGAAAAAAAAGGTGGAAAAAGACAGGGAGAACGCACAGACGCAATCGTTCAGGATTTTTATGAGGACCTGACAACTCTTGGTCTGTTCAAGGGCGAAGGAAAAGTGTGAGGCAGCGAAGCCTCTCTGGTTAACTCTGAAGCAAACGCTGAGTATGCAACACCATGGAGCCTGGCTCAGAGTGACAAAGCTTTACTGCTCCCATCTCTCCATCGAAAAGCAAAAGGATTAGAGTTTTGCCTCTAAACATCTAAAAAAGTTTAAAAACTCTAAATTGTGACAAATTTGGGGCAGTTAATCCTTCACTCCTGCCACCAACTCTTACCTTCCACTTGGACCTCTGGGCATGTACCCAAAGGTTTTCTGTAATATTTTTGACTATTGTTCAAAAGAAAAACTAGAAAAACTGAGGCTAATAATGCAGCTTTACCTGCAAAGGTTGAGGCTCTCTCTTTGCCTCTCCAGGTGTCTTCCATACATGTGAGGGAATGACACGTAGTCCCAGCTTTGAAAAAATATTCAGAAGGAGTGGAGTGTAGATGGGGAAGCACTCTAATACAATTATAACTGGGGCCATCCAATCCAATAAAATGAAGACGTATTAGAGCAGGGGAGCCCCATCCTGCTCAATAAGACACTGGACCACTCAACTAACTCCAAAAATACACACATGTAGGCATACTCGCACACATACACAGGTACATACACTTCACTGACCTCTTTAATAGCACAGCAGCCACCCCTAATGGACGCAAGCAAGTGGAACCGCCAAATAATACACTGTCTTAATGCACTAGGCTCAATCTCATCCCCCCATTCTCCTTATCCTTCTCAGCCTTCACTCTCATACTTTAACCCCTGTTTCCATCTTCCCTCACCTTGTGCTGTTCACCACCTGAGTGCCCTTTATAGATCACCAAAGCAGAGGCAACACTTAAGGAATCAAAACTACTCCTATATACACAAAACACTTACCCCGCAGACCCCTGTTAACATCTCAGCCATGAAGAAGAAGGGGTATCGCTGCTATCATATAAAATAGCATCACTAATATCTACCATCAAGTTAAAGCAAGAGCGATATTATACGGATGCATTTTAACCAGCAGGTGGAGGGGTAGGTTGTTGTAATGGCGATGAAAGTGAATGAGCAGGGAAGACACCATGTGAAAAGGGCACCTTATAAAAGCAATTAGAAAAATGACTTTGAGCCCCTCTTCTTGCTCTGTAGATTAGAACAGGCCTTCGAGGGGGGAACGCAGAGGAACTCAGATCTCTGTGACCTTGTCCACAAAGCACCACACTAAATTGGTCATCAGCTTTTAAGACTTAAATCAAAGTTCACATCTATTTATATATATATGCACATATGCTTGTGTGTGTGTGTGTGTGTGTATGTGTGTGTGTGTGTGTGTGTGTGTGTGTGTGTGTGTGTGTGTGTGTGTGTGTTTGTGTGTGTGTGTGTGTGTGTGTGTGTGTGTGTGTGTGTGTGTGTGTGTGTGTGTGTGTGTGTGTGTGTGTGTGTATGTGTGTGTGTGTGTGTGTGTGTGTGTGTGTGTGTGTGTGTGTGTGTGTGTGTGTGTGTGTGTGTGTGTGTGTGTAGATATGTTTTCTTCAGTATAAGGAAAAAGAGAAAAAAATACATGGAAAAAAGGAAACTGTGAAATGTGCTGGTCGTATATCATCCTGTCACAATTATGACGTTTGTTCATAAATACCAACCAATCTCCTCTCCACCTGGCTAAGTCACCTGCGTTTGTGCTTATGCACACGCGCCACAATAGAAATAGGAGCACACACCACGTGCAGCGAATGTACGTGCCCGCCGCAAATAGAGAAACAGACGCACCTGGCTGAGGCCCTACCACAGGCCTGAGAACTGACCTCCACAGACGCACAGAGACTGAAAACACACTCATCCCACATACTCCCAAGCACTTTACTCAACAGTGAATGCCCATGTTCTGCACA